TCATTGGCTAGATCTGCTATCTGCACAGAGAAAAAGATGAAAAAATATCTACCAGTGCTGTTTGCAAACACAACTCACATTCTCGGGAGACAAACTATTTTTGACTGTATTAAGCTAATATATTGGCGACCAGCCCTGAGATATAAAGAGAAAAGCCCCAATGTTTTAAAAAGTAAAACAGTTTGATGCAGCAGGTTTTCCCAACCAGTTTATAAGTTAACAAAGGAACTTTCACATTTGAGATATGAAGTGTTCCACAGCGTTCAAGTGAAATTTGAACATTTCCTTCTGATTAAAAATAGAGGTAACTACAACATTATCAGTACCCATACACTTTGTCGCCAACAGAAACAACATTCATTTATGTCACTTTTAGGTCTGTAGATATCACCAATTATCATTTACTCTCATCATTGCTGCAAAATTGTATTTATTACCCCTGCTTTTAGGCTGCACACAAACACAGCTGCTCTATACAGATACTTCTATGATGTAGCTAATCAGCGTCTGGACTTTTAAGCAGTCTATCCCTGACTACTTAAAACAAATAGAAAAGTCATGTGTTTCTCTAGTATCCCAGACATCCAGCGGCTTTCCAACACAGTAATTTGTTGACCAATATGTGAAAAGAGGTAAATCATCTGCATTATAGTTTTGACAAACTGAACAGTTCAAATGAAAATTCTTTACTCTCTTTACTCTCCATTGCTGCAGAGCAATGGAACCTACTGTAACTTAGATATGCATGTAAGTACTGAGGGTATACACCCTTCACACCAATCTCTTAAAAAATTAACGTACCCATTTTAAGTGTATCATCTTTATTATTTATAAGGCCTCAATAAAGCACATCTATTTTCCATAACTCTAAAAAATATTTTGCTATCTTGGTTCTATTTTCATACGCATTTAAAAATATTATTCATCAGCTGGGTATGGTGGCTTGTGTCTATAGTCCCAGCTACTGAGGAGGCTGAAGTGGGAGAATCACTTCAGCCCAGGAGCTGAGGCTGCAGTGAGATTTAACTGTGCTACTGTCCTCTAGCCTGAGTGACAAAGTGAGACTCTTGTCTCAAAAAAAATTTTTTAATTAAAAAAAAAAAGTAAAAAGTAAAACATTATTCAGATGGGATCCAGATACCTGAGGCTAGCAAAAAGATCCATGGCATTAAAAAATGTTAAGAAGCCCTGCTACAGACACTTTAACTTCCATTAATTTTATTCTTTTTTTTTTTAGACAGAGTTTCACTCTTGTTGCCCAGGCAGGAATTCAATGGCGCCATCTCAGCTCACCACAATCACAACCTGCACTTCCCAGGTTCAAGTGATTCTTCTGCCTCAGCCTTCTGAGTAGCTGGGATTACAGTCACGAACCACCACACCCGGCTAATTTTACTCTTGATGAATAAACTATTTACACACATTACTTATTAAAATCCCAATGAAGGTGGAAAAATCACTAATAATCAAATTAGAAACTAGTCACACTTATTTTGTTGCCCTCAGGACCAATAATTTCTCAAAAAGGAAAAACAAGGGCCAGGCGTGGTGGCTCAAGCCTATAATCCCAGCACTTTGGGAGGCCGAGGCGGGTGGATCACAAGGTCAAGAGATTGAGACCATCTTGGTCAACAAGGTGAAACCCCGTCTCTACTAAAAATACAAAAAATTAGCTGGGCATGGTGGCTCATGCCTGTAATCCCAGCTACTCAGGAGGCTGAGACAGGAGAATTGCCTGAACCCAGGAGGCGGAGGTTGCGGTGAGCCGAGATTGTGCCATTGCACTCCAGCCTGGGTAACAAGAGCGAAACTCCGTCTCAAAAAAAAAAAAAAAAGGAAAAACAAAAGCGATTAATTTCAGATGGGGTTAATTAAACCTGTCTGAATGCTGACTTGTTTCCCCAGTACACAGTGAACAAGCCCCTCTCCCCTCAGAAGTGTGATTAACTACACAAAGAGTGGTCCCTAATGGTCACTCAAACCCTGGCAATTGAGGATGCAACAGCATGATCAAATTTCTAGCTGTTACAACTGAGCACCAGCAACAAGAGACACAATCTCCATTCTGAGCCACTTCAGGTTCCTTCTTGAGAATGTGATTTAAATCTTCCTGTTAACAACTGATCCAAATGTCTCAGAACTATTTTAAAGAGGAACTGTGGTAAAATTAAATAAATACAGCTATATGCAGACTGTTGTATGATAAGAGGTCAACTACAGGATACTCTGGAGTATATGAATCCACTTATTTTAAAAAGAAAAAGAACACATAAACATATACATGATTCTAAATGCAGTGAAAACCCCTGGAAGTAGTCACAAGAAGCTGTTAATATAAGCAATATGGCTCAATGGAGCGGATAGGTGAGAAGACTGTGGGTAAGACTTTTACTTTTCACTTTCTGTATGGTTTGAAATTTCCTTCCCTGCAGGCTGTACAGGAAAATGATCTGAATTTTTACATTAAACCTGAGTTTCATCATTAAGGGGAAAAAAAGCCCAAGGATTTATTTATGATTTTTTTGTGTTCAAACTTCTACCTGTAACTGCTTTACACACTGGCAAGTCCATGGAAATGCTAATAAAGCTACTTAGACTAGACCTCAGTTTAACTTTAGACTCATTGTGCAAGGGACTGGAAAGGCCCACAAACCTGGCAAAACAGAATGGGAGAGAGGCTGTCCAACTCATCAACCAGCACAAGGTTTTTAAGTGGTCTTGGCTGAAAAAAGAATGTGTCTCCTTCTTCCAGAGGCATGGCTGATGAAAACTCAGGTTCTTCATCATCATCTCCAAGATGTGCAATTTGATATAAGTAACTGGGAAGAAGCAGAGAAACTTTAGGTAACGAGCTCTCTACTGAAGATAATATTTGATATCAACATAAAGCACAAACTATTTCATTAAGATACTGTTATTAGGCCGGGCGCGGTGGCTCAAGCCTGTAATCCCAGCACTTTGGGAGGCTGAGGCGGGTGGATCACGAGGTCAAGAGATCGAGACCGTCCTGGTCAACATGGCGAAATCCCGTCTCTACTAAAAATACAAAAAATTAGCTGGGCATGGTGGTGCGTGCCTGTAATCCCAGCTACTCAGGAGGCTGAGGCAGGAGAATTGCCTGAACCCAGGAGGCGGAGGTTGCGGTGAGCCGAGATCGCGCCATTGCACTCCAGCCTGGGTAACAAGAGCGAAACTCCGTCTCAAAAAAAAAAAAAAAAAAAAAAAAAAACACATTCTTGTGAAAAGCTCCATAAGCCTCGAAGCCACACCTTCCTACCAGCAACTTTTTTTTTTTTTTTGAGTTTCACTCTTGTTGCCCAGGCTGGAGTACAGTGGCGTAACCTCAGCTCACTGCAACCTCCACCTCCCAGGTTCAAGTGATTCTCCTGCCTGAGCTTCCCAAGTAGCTGGGATTACAGGCGTCCACCATCATGCCCAGATCATTTTTCTATTTTACGTAGAGATGGGGTTTCACTATGTTGGCAAGGCTGGTTTCAAACTCCTGACCTCAACTGATTCACCCGCCTCAGCCTCCCAAAGTGTTGATCACAGCCCCTGCTACCAACTTTTTTTTTTTTTTTGAGACGGAGTTTCGCTCTTGTTACCCAGGCTGGAGTGCAATGGCGCGATCTCGGCCCACTGCAACCTCCACCTCCTGGGTTCAGGCAATTCTCTGCCTCCGCCTCCTGAGTAGCTGGGATTACAGGCACGCGCCACCATGCCCAGCTAATTTTTTTGTATTTTTAGTAGAGACGGGGTTTCACCATGTTGACCAGGATGAGGTCTCGATCTCTTGACCTTGTGATCCACCCGCCTCAGCCTCCCAAAGTGCTGGGATTACAGGCGTGAGCCACTGTGCCCGGCCGCTACCAACTTTTATAGTAACCAGGGCAAATTAGGGTAACAGAAGGATTACTCACTGGTTTCCAAATTCTGATGCTACAAAAAGGAATCCTGTTTTAAGTACACACATGGCAGCAGCAACAGGTACAGTATCAAAATACTTGAGCCGGATCTCAGTAACCTGGAGAGAAAAGAAAGATTCTGGTGTACAAACAAGTGAAGTCAGCCCAGTATTATTACAAGACAGCACAGGCTAAGTAGCAAATAAAATTCATATCTGACCAGGGGTCAGCAAACTCCAGCTCATGGGCCAGTCATGCCAATCAATACTGTCTACGGCTACTTTTGTGCTGTAACAACATAGCTGAGTAGTTGAGACGGAGACTCTGTAGCTTACAAAAGCTGTAAATATTTACTATGTGGCCTTTACAAAACAATGTTTGCCAATTCCCGATCCAAACAGCTAAGAAACTGCACAACTATTCACAGAGCTTCTCTATAGGACAAAACAAGTAAGAGATCACTTTTATTACTCAGTTTTCAGTAGAAAATGAGACCTTTATCCTCTTCACACCAATTATTACCACCTGAAAATAATCACTACAAGTGGCATTATATTGTATGTAAGAATACCAGACCAAAAATCTGATAACCAGAAAGAGAATCTGTACTTATATACCAGTTCCAAGGGCAACCACTTTCTAAGTTCTCATTATTTTAACTTCTGAAGTATTACCTGTCTTGCCTAACTCATCTCATAGAGTAGCTGTACTGGTCCATCCATGGTCTACTTACCATATCTTCATCTGTCTCCAAAGTGATTTTAAAGATATCTCCCTGCTCAGTTTGAGCCAAAAAGAAGAACATAGATTTGGTCTTATGGGTTGCAGAGCAGACAAAAATCATTCCTCTTTCAGGGTCATCCAGGTCATTCTAGCAAAGTCAAATACATAATCAACGTCTTAGAAATGGGTCCTTCTTAGTTCTGGAATTCAGCACTTTAGCAACAGGGATTACACACGACATTCAGGGCCTACAAGCACAAGCTTTGATCCAGAACGGCCTGCTAGCCAGAGCAATGGAAGTCCACAGCTCAAAATTCATCACCTGCTGTATCTAATAAAACCAGGGTAACCAAGAGTCCCAATTTCACTCTACAGCCTGATCAGAGCCATAAGGCAAAATATATCTCCAGAGAAAAATGTCAGAGAAGAGACATGAAATTTAAAGAGTCATCATTTCAGGCTGTGACCGAAACACTGCTCCATCTAAACCACCCTGTTGTACATGAAACACCTTGATTCCTAAAAGGCACCTCCTTAGCTATGAAATAGAATATTTTTTCTTTTCAAGACAAGGTCTCACTATGTTCCCGAGACTGGTCTTTAACTCCTAGGCTCAGGGGATCCTACAATCTCAGCCTCTCAAATAGCTGAGGATGACAGGCACACCACTGCACCTGGCTTGCATTTTTTAACATTTCCAATAGTTTCTATTTCTCTCACCAACTAAGCTCTGCAAGAAGTTTTAGACTTCTCTGTTGCTGCAAAGCCAAGTACAGTGCCTGGCACAGTTAGGTGCTCAATGTCTAATCAACTTAGTGACTTCTCATCCCTTAACAAGAACAATTTAACTTAAAATTGATGGAATCTGACTTGTATACTATGTATTAGATTAACTAACTTAAATCCTAAAGTTAAACACCAGGCAAATAAATAATCCAGAGGTGAGGGGAAAGATTACAATAACTGATTCAGGCAAAGGAGCCACACCAAAACCACTGGGTGAAAAGATGCTGGGGAAAAGGGATATTTACTAGTCTCAAAGATCACCATCAAATTCCATTATCAGTTACCAAAAAAGAAAAGATACCATTACAATGAAGACAATGGGCAGGCACCACCTTAACAAAGAGACTAATTTAATATCTCAATGAAATAAATCAACATTATGTATGCACAATGTGTGACATCATGGAGAATATATGTCACCTACATACATCACTACCTATGTAGTAATTATATCAGAAATATTAAACTCAATATAATCATGAGGAAACAGACTATGGGACAGACTATAAGAAAACTGGCTGGCTGGGCACAGTGGCTCACACCTGTAATCCCAGCACTTTGGGAAGCCAAGGCAGGCAGATCACAAGGTCAGGAGTTTAAGATCAGCCTGGCCAATATGGTGAAATCCCATCTCTACTAAAAATTAAAAAATTAGCCGGGCGTCGGCCAGGCGCGGTGGCTCAAGCTTGTAATCCCAGCACTTTGGGAGGCTGAGGCGGGTGGATCACGAGGTCGAGAGATCGAGACCATCCTGGTCAACATGGTGAAACCCCGTCTCTACTAAAAATACAAAAAATTAGCTGGGCATGGTGGCACGTGCCTGTAATCCCGGCTACTCAGGAGGCTGAGGCAGGAGAATTGCCTGAACCCAGGAGGCGGAGGTTGCGGTGAGCCGAGATCGCGCCATTGCACTCCAGCCTGGGTAACAAGAGTGAAACTCCGTCTCAAAAAATTAGCCGGGCGTGGTGGCAGGCGCCTGTAGTCCCAGCTCTTTGGGAGATTGAGGCAGGAGAATGGCTTGAAGGGAAGCAGAGGTTGTAGTGAGCCAAGATGATGCCACTGCACTCCTGCCTGGGCTTAAGAGCAAGAGTCTATCTCAAAAAAAAAAAAAAAAAAAAAAAAATTAGTCCAGACTGACTGGTAGGGCGTAATGGCTCATGCCTGTAATCCCAACACTTTGGGAAGCCAAGTCAGGCAGATCACTTGAGGTCAGGAGTTTGGGACCAGACTGGTCAACACGACAAACCCCATCTCTATTAAAAATACAAAAAAAAAAAAAAAATCAGCCGAGTGTGGCAGTGCATGCCTGTAATCCTGGCTACTTGGGAGGCTGAGGTGGGAGGATCACTTGAACCCAAAAGCAGAGGTTGCTGCGAGCTAAAATCACAACAATGCAACAGCCTGGGCAAGAGCAAGATTCTGTCTCCAAAAAAAAAAAAAAAAAAAAAAAAAAAAAAAAGGTGAGAAGGAAATACCCTAAACTAAAGGAGACTAAAGGCCATTTATGAAGAAACTTTTTGGGATGAGAGAAATATGAATATGACATACACATAAGGTAACTATACTACACAAAATGTTACAATTTCTAGGGTATGATACTGGCAATCTGATTAAGTAGGATAATGGCCTTGTTCTCAGGAGCCATTATCTCAGGAGATTATCGGAGTGAGGCATCATAATGCCTGTAACTTCTTTTCAAATTGCTTAGCCTAGAAAAGTGTACAGATATATCCTGAGAAAGAAAAAACAAAAGTAGAAAAATATTAACAACGGATTAACCTAAATGATGGGCATGTGGGAAGTCACAGTTCTATTGTTTTTAAACTTTCTGTATATTGGAATTTTCAAGATAAAATGTTGGGGAATAAAAGCCAAACAGAATAAAACGCAATCTATCTCTAACAAATATGCTTGGTTTCTCCAAACTAAAAACTTTCAAGAATTTCAAATTAATAATTGTCCATAGGTTCCTCTGAAAGGAAATTAGGTTAGTTTTAATTCTCTTTCTAAAAGATTATGTTTGGCTTTTACTCAAATGTTTTACCAGCTTTATTAAAAATAACATTTATGTCCCTGCCCGGGACCACTGGGTTTTTTTTAATTTACAAAAAAACTAACTTGCTAACAAACAGACTACAGTGTAATCACAAAAATTAAACACAAATATCTCTCTTCTTATATCAAAGATCTTACCCGCCTCCTGGGAATTGGACAGCGAATATCTGGCTGGTCACCAAAGTTCTTGTAAGTAATATAATTTTCAGAGCAGATCAGCACTCCACTTGGACCATCTGACCCTCCTGGAACTGTCAGAGAAAATAAAACTTAGCAGTGACTTTAACACAGACATGAATTTCTTCAACTTTCAGCTCCTCCTCTCTTTTGGCAAAACTTGATGAAGCAATGTGCCAGAGACTAAGAAACGTTCCAAGTGTTTCCCTTCCCTTTATTCATACTAGATAAGGATGAAGAACAGTTTGTGTTTATATGGAAGGTTTGATCTCAGCCTAGTTAACATACAAATGTTTACCTATAAGCCCAAATCTAGTTCTCATCTTCAGACCTTAATACATCAAATCACCTACTGGACATGAACTTCCACAGGTCATCTGAAACTACAGAGTGTTCAGGCCGGGCATGGTGGCTCACACCTGTAATCCCAGCACTTTGGGAGGCTGAGGTGGGTGGATCACCTGAGGTCAGGAGTTTGAGATCAGCCTGGCCAAGATGGTGAAAACCCATCTTTACTAAAAATAGAAAAATTGGCCGGGCACGGTGGCTCAAGCCTGTAATCCCAGCACTTTGGGAGGCCGAGGCGGGTGGATCACAAGGTCAAGAGATCGAGACCATCCTGGTCAACATGGTGAAACCCCGTCTCTACTAAAAATACAAAAAATTAGCTGGGCATGGTGGCACGTGCCTGTAATCCCAGCTACTCAGGAGGCTGAGGCAGGAGAATTGCTTGAACCCAGGATGCGGAGGTTGCGGTGAGCCGAGATCGCGCCATTGCACTCCAGCCTGGGTAACAAGAGCGAAACTCCGTCTCAAAAAAAAAAAAATAGAAAAATTAGCCAGGAATGGTAGCACATGCCTGTAATCACAGCTACTGAGGAGGCTGAGGCAGGAGAATCACCTGAACCCAGGAGGCAGAGACTGTAGTGAGCTGAGACGGGACCACTGCATTCCAGACTGGACAACAGACTGAGACTGCATCTCAAAATGAATAAATAAATAAAATAAAATAACAGGCCAGCGTGGTGGCTCATGCCTGTAATCCCAGCACTTTGGAAGGTGGAGGCGGGCGATCACCTGAGGTCAGGAGCTCAAAACCAGCCTGGCCAACATGGTGAAACCCCATCTCTACTAAAAACACAAAAATTGGCCGGGCGCGGTGGCTCAAGCCTGTAATCCCAGCACTTTGGGAGGCCGAGACGGGTGGATCACGAGGTCAAGAGATCGAGACCATCCTGGTCAACATGGTGAAACCCCGTCTCTACTAAAAATACAAAAAATTAGCTGGGCATTGTGGCGCGTGCCTGTAATCCCAGCTACTCAGGGGGCTGAGACAGGAGAATTGCCTGAACCCGGGAGGCGGAGGTTGCGGTGAGCCAAGATCGCGCCATTGCACTCCAGCCTGGGTAACAAGAGCGAAACTCCATCTCAAAAAAAAAAAAAAAAAACACACACACAAAAATTAGCCAGTCCTGGTGATGGGCACCTGTAATCCCAGCTACTCAGAAGGCTGAGGCAGAAGAATCACTTGAACCCGGGAGGCAGAAGTTGCAGTAAGCCAAGATCCTGCACCACAGCACTCCAGACTGGGCAACAGAGCGAGACTCCATCTCAAAAAAAAAAAAAAACAATAAAGTAAAATAAAATAACAGCATGTTCCTTCCCAACCCTACTCCACCTCCTGGATTCTCCACCTAACAGCATACAGACCAAACCAGAAACCTGGGTATAATCCTTCAATTCTCTCTCCTCCCACAGCCCTACTGATTCTATCTCCTTAGCAGCTGCCAATATCTCAGTTTAATGAGAAGTTTCCTCATCAGTCTCCTGGCTTACAGTCTTAATATCCTCCATTTGATTAGTCAAAATATAAGCAATTACTCTTTCTGAGGTGTCTACCTATCAGATTGCTACTCTACTTAGAATCCTTCAGTAGCTTTTACCCCACCCCTACTCCTACACCAGTCCCTTAATAATTAAATCATAGGCTGAGCACATTGGCTTCTGCCTGTAATCCCAGCACTTTGGGAGGCCAACGCGGGCAGATCACAAGGTCAGGAGATCAAGGGCCCTGGCTAAAACGATGAAACCCCGTCACTACTAAAAATACAGAAAGTTAGCCAGGCATGGTGGCATTCGCCTGTAGTCCCAGCTACTGAGGAGACTGAGGCAGGAGAATCCCTTGAACCCAAGAGGCAGAGGTTGCAGTGAGCTGAGATCTACCCTGGGTGACAGAGAGACTCCACCTCAAAAAAAAAAAAAAAAAATTATATCATAATGGGCTTTTAATTCTTTGAATGAATCATGTTATTTCTTGTATTCAGGCTTTTGTAAATGCTGTTCCCTTTGCCTACAACCAAAACTTCCTCTCCCACCCCAACTGCACCTAGCTAACTCCTAACTAGTCCTCAGGTCTCAGAGACTCCAGCAAGCTTTCTGTAATAC